GGAGGACACTCAAGATAGCACAACAAGATAGCACTCAAGATTGCTCAGCATTTCCATTGCTATAATACTTTAAATGAACTAAAGAGATGCTTTGTGGTTTCTAGGGAGACCCCCAGTCTCTGACTATCCAAGTCTTACTTTGGTTTCCTGATCTCATCCAGAATCAAGACCCTGTCCATCTCATGATCCATCATTTATGAGAATAACGTCTAAATCTCTGTCCACTCTTGGGTTTCATCTTCTTGGAGCACATATTATTATACTACACTTTTTCTTTTGCTGTTTTCTAGGGATGCTAAATCCAAATGCTTAAGACTTAATACGTATTTTTCCCTTTATTCTATCACTGCTATGGTTTGAGGGTATGTGTCCCTACATAATTCACCTTGGAACCTAAGACCACTGCAATGGTTGTTCAGAGTTTAGACCTTGAGGAGGTGAGGCTATCAGGGCTGTGCTCTTGCAGATAGGAGAATGCATTACAAAAGGGCTGTTGGGAACTAGCCACACCCTTTTGCCTTTCTGATCCTTCTGCAATATGCAGACACAGTGTCCACCCCCAATAGAGCCGCATTCAAAGCACCATCTTGGAAGCAGAGACCTGGCGCTCACCAGATTCCGAACCTGCCAGTGCTTTGATCTTGAACTTCCCAGCCCCCAAAACTGTGAGAGATGAATTTCTATTGTTCATTAACAATAAGTCTAAGGGACTTTGTTATTGCACCAGTTTTTCCTTCCCATGCTCTTTCAATCTATCCTTTCTGGCTGATCCTAACTGCCTGGTTGACACCCTTATCCCCTGATCTTCTGGCAGCCCGTTTTTGCCCACCCAGCCTACAAACCACTTCCCAATGACTTCATTCATTAAACAAATACTTGTTGAGTGCCCTCTTTGTTCTCTGTACTGGCTTAAGTAGTGCATCAAGCAGCATCTACAGAATAAGATGTAAGCTCCAGAACCCAGCAGCATCCCTACAGCACCCCACCTAGCTAGACTGCCACTTACTCTTCCAGACAAGTTGTTCCACTCAGGTTTCTCTGAAAATACCTAGAGCTTGCTGCCTCCCTTGGATTCCCTACCTGGAAGTCCTTTCCTCTTTCTTCACTAACATTAGCCATTTCCCCTATGGTAGCTGTTCCTTCATTCAGTTTCTATAATTGTATGTCTTATTCTGTTTCCTTCACAATTGGTGCTTGTAAAATTGTATTGCTCTCTTTATTTTCTATGGCATGTCACCCCAACAGGATGGTAAGCACCTCAACAGAGAGGATCCGTGTTTGCGAGCACCTTTGTGACTCATCAGCCTAATAGAATAAATTGCAAGAAGGAAAGAAAGCAAACAATTGTTGAGTGCTACAGAACACCAGAGACCCTTATATGAGTTTTTTGGGTTCGTTTCGCTTGACTTCTTTTTGATATCTCATCTAAGTCTCTAAACCACAGTGGCAAACGGTAGCTTTATAGGCAAAATCTGGCCTATCTGTTTTTGTAAATGAAATTTATTGAAACATTGCCACACCTGTAGATTTACTTATTGCCTGTGGGTGCTTTCATGCTACAATGGCAGAGTCGAGTCATCATGTCAGGCTGTATGATCAGCAAAAATGAACATATTTACTTTCTGTTCCTTTAAGAAAAAGTTTGCCAATCTCTTGTCTAAACAACCAGAAGAGGTTCCATCTTTCATAGTCTGCTTTTCTAGGTGAAGTTTAGAGAGTTTGAGAAGACTGCTCAAAGTGTCACAACTAATAAAGAATCAAACAAAAACTTGAGACCAAGTCTGTGGGGTTCCAGAATCCATAAACTTCTCACTCGACTGCAGGTTATGCTCAGTGATTGCTAATTTTTGATGATAGTGAGGGTATCATCTATGTCCTGTCCCTTGGCTTTTCTTCCTATTTTTTCAGAAAATGATCCAGTGGCTGGAGTTCACTGAGATTTTTTTTTTTAGTCAAATTCCTCTGAGTGACCACATTACCATTATTTTTAGAAGACATTTTCTATAATTTTCCATCATAACATCATCACATGCTGCTCTAATTTTCTCCTGAAAGCCATGACCACTTTGAGGGCCAGGCTGTATCTAGTTTTCTCCTGTGTCTGAGCCTCTAGGATGGCCTTAGCATATAATATAATAAAATAATAAAGTCTCTATATGTTGCAGGATATGAATTGCAGGAATGACTGTCATTTTTGAGAGAGAAGTTATCCTTAGCACTACCGTCTTTCAGTAGAAATTAGTGTGGAAAAGCTCTTCCTGTGAAGTCACAGACCACCTGGACTTAAATGTCTGTGCTATGGCTTCCTAGGTATGCTATTTCAGGCAAGTTGTCTAATCCGTACAATTTTACTTTAAATCTGTGAAACAGGAATCATGCAGTTATTTTGGTGAACTGAGATAAGAAAAGTCAGGTGCTTACAGCCATTCTACAGTAAACAACAAACACTGGCTGTTATCATTCTTGGATAGCATCATGGCATAGATGCCCATTGATTCATCGGTGGATTCACTCCAGAGAGCCACACAAACCACAAGCAAGCAAGGAAAGGAGTCAAGACAAAGGGGAATAAGAAAGTGGAAAAGTTCCTCCTCTGCTTCATCTGTGCAAAAAGATTCCAGAAAAACATTCTTTATGCATAAATAAGGTCCTTGTGTTCTCAGGTGTATATATCCTGCCCTACGTATAAAAATGAAGGGAAGGAAATTTTGAGCAAACAATACTTTCAGAAGACAGGCCCCCAATATTAGTACGGAGAGGAGAATAAAAGAGATTGTGAGGCAGGATGCTTAATCATATTAATTATTGCAAATAATAGCCAGCAATGCCAAAATCGGCCCCTAACTGGGATTCGCATCATTACCCTAAAGTAATTAAACTGCTGCCAACATCCCACATCACCCGAGTCAGTTCTACCTGCAAGAGCCATTAAAGTTATAATCATGCCCCATTTGAAGTCCTGACTTCATGAATATGATTGAGAGCTTGTGAAATGAGGTAAAATTTGTTTAAGCTTCCAGGGAGGAAAGGGATAGATGTGCCGCTGATGGCAGGCATCCATCACTGGGTTACTAGCTCAGTTTCTTTCTGCTGACTTTCAGAAATCCAATACAGAATGAGTCCCTTATGGATTCCTGGGCTCTTTTAGAAAAGCTTGCATTAAGTTGTGATTCCCATTGATTTCCTGTTCCTTTTACTCTTTATTTAAGTTCAACTTATAGAAGTTCATGCTCTATTTAAGGCATTGTTTAAAAGATAAAAAGGAAAAAAAAAGTCGGTAGAGACAACTTCTCTGGATTTCTTTTCCATGTGTTTTCCTCTCAGAATATTAAATTATCCTCTGTGCACACACCTTACTTTTCAGTAATTTGGTTTCTGTGTCTTATAAATAATTTTGAGTAGCATAAAAACAGAGGTCCATGACTTACCCAGTTTATAAAATTTAATTCTTGGAGTTAGAAAGTCCGTTTGTTGTCTAAAGTGGATAAGGACTATTTTGGAGCAGGCTGCCAGCAAAAGAAAGAGATTTGCCAACATGGCGGTTACTCTGCACAGTGACTCTGCACAGTGGGCCTCTGAGAGTATCTGAGAAGCCCATGGAGTGTGGTGCCCACCTGTATACACACACTTTTCCTGGGAAATTACTCACATGGGTTCTAAGTCACTTTGTTTGTACCTTTAGGCCCTTCTTCCCCAAACATCCCAGATTGGACCCAATGTGAAAAGCAACCAGAAGGAGGTGAGACATAAGGAAGATTAGTGGCCTGTGAGGTCTTCTGACCTGACAACCTTTATTAGTAGAGATGATCCATATTGGATACTGATCAAATCAACCAGAACTGCTCTCTTGGGTTCACATATTAGAAAAAACAAAAATATAGAGATTGAATTGTTGGGACCCTTGACATGAGCAGGAGTAACTCCTTCAGGGACAAATAAAAGCAGATTTAAAGCATATAGGATCCACTGGAGTAGACAGCAATGCTATTATGATATCATGTTCCTTCTATAATGGTTGTTTGAAGTCTACTTCAAAATGCTTCCCTACTCCCCAGAGTATTTTTCTTAGTAGGTTATGTGGGTGTTTGATGATGGTGGTGAAAGGGTGTGCAGCTTGTAGACTAAGAACATGAAGCAACTTCTGTGAAAATGCCCGACACTTCTGGTAAACTTTCATAACCAATGGACAAATTCATAGAATTTGAATGAACCACTTGCCTTAAGTACTGATCAGTTTAGCTGGTCTCTAAGCACAATCCTGAAGAAATAATGTCAAACTGGCAGAAAGTTTGAAGGATAAGACAGAAAAAAAAATTGTGCATAAATCTCAATGGTAACTGATATAAAATGTAGAAACAGTAGGTTTCCTAAGCAGCAGATCCTCAGCACTTGGGGGATTAGATGGTGTGATAGGCTGAATTGTAGGTTTATAGGTTGAATTCCCAATCCCAGCTCCTTACAATTTGACCATATTTGAAGATAGGGCCTTTAAAAAGGCAGTGAAGTTAAAATGAGGCCATTAGAGTGGGACCCAATCCAATATGACTTGTGTCCTTGTAAGAAAAAGGAATTTGGACACACAGGGACATCAGAGATACATGTGGACAGATAAAAGACTATGAGACAGAGACAAGATCCTACAGCAAAAAGACCACTACCTACAAGCCAAGGAGAAAGGCCTGAGAAGAAAACAAACCCACTTATACCTTGATCTTGGACTTTTAGTCTGTAGAACTGTGAGAAATAAATTTCTGCTGTGTGAGCCACACAGTCTATGGTATTTGAAATGACAACTCTAGCAAACCAATACAGGTAGCATAGAGAGGGGCTCACTGTATAGGGAGTTGAGAGTGTCCAAGATCCAACTGTAATGTACTGATGTCTTTTTGATGCATATTTGAGCACGGTGGGAAGGGGAGAACACTTCTGAGTGTACACTGTGCACAGACAATAACATAGACACTATCTAATCCACACAACAAATTAGTGAAGTGGTTTACCCTCCTTTTTGTCAATGAAGAAACTGAGGCTCAGCAAGAGAAGAATCATGCCTGAATTTGCCCGGGAGTGGTTGGGTGTTTCTGGCAGACATCAAGCAGTCTTCCAGGAGCCCCTGGCAGAAAGAAAAAAGAACCCATCAGAGATAGACTGCAGGGAGCAGTGCTGGTCAGTATTACTGAGGCCCATACATGTCAAAGGCAACTAGTGTGGTTAAGAAAAGCAGATCAGTTCCTGAATAGTGGGTTGCAATCATGGCTCCGCCACCCACTAGCTGGAGCATCTTGGGCAAATCACCCTTTGTCACTAAACCTTTGTTCCTTTACCCATGACACAATAATACCTTTAAAGGCTTTATTGGATTTTTGAGAAAATGAGATGAACTAAAGTATTTAAGAGACCTATCACAGGCTGTATTGGTCAGGGGTCTCTAAAGAAACAGTTCATATAGGTTATATAGATATATATAGAGAGGGAGAACTTAAATAATCTGCTTATGTAATTGTGGGAAGTTCAGTAAATCCAAAATCTGATAGAGGAAGCCAAAGGCTGGAGACGCAAGAAAGAGTTGCCAATAGAGTCCCAAAGCTATCTACTCTAGACCCAGAAGGATGAAGACTAAAGGCCGTATCCAGGGGAAATCCTCTATTTAGGGGCATTCAGAATTTTGTTTTATGTAGATCTTCAACTGACGATTGAGTGAAGCTTACCCACATTGTAGAGAGAAACCCACTTTACTCAAAGTCCACCAATTTAAATGGAAATCCCATCCCAAGTCATTCTCATAGAAGCTTGCAAAATAATGTTCGACCGTGTACGTGAGCACTGTGGACCAGCCAAGTCAACATAAAATTTACCATCACCTAGTGCTTGGCACTTGGTAAGTGCTCAGTAAAAGCTCACAATGGTGACTTTTTATTATTCTTATAAATTAAAGAAGAGCATCCCTTTTCTCTTGTGGTCGGACACAGTTGGTACACTCAGGGTTAAAGGGAGAGAAACACGCATGGTCTGAAGGGAAAGAGACAGAACTGACCACACTGTTATTAAACCCCACCATTATTGAAATCCTTTCTTTCTCAGAAAGTGAAAAGGGGCAAGGGCTGGATAAATAGTAGCTGTATTATACTCTGTCTGGGAAAGAGATTATCAATGTCATAATTACAAGATTTATTTGAAAAAGAATGTAATGGGCCGTTTTCTATTGCAAATGGGTCCATTTTTCTCAGATGACTAAGATGTGGTCAAACCTTCACTTCAACCCCATGCTCTAATGGGATGGTTTAGGCAAAAACTTCTCATCCATGGCCCTCAATTACTCCCACTGTAAGTAAAAGTTTTGATAATTTCAGAGGTGGAGCAAACAAGAGTCATCTACCCAAGGAGATGCTAACAGGGCCACCTCAGAGCGGGCCAAGTGGGCAGGACTGTGAGCCCTTAACTTCTCTAAGTATTTGTCTTCCATCTAAGGCTTCTTTCATTTGTAGAAAGAGTTTTATGAGTTTAAAAAAAAAAGTTTGAATTTAAAAAAAAATTTTAAATCAACACAATATTTGTACCTATTTATAGGGAACAATATTATAATGTGATACATGTATACAATGTGTAAAGATCAAATCAGGGTAGTTTTCATTACCTATCTCCTAAAAATATTATCATTCCTATATGTTGGGAAACTTCAAACTCTTCTGGTTACGTTGAAAAGTTGTAATTAGTTGTTGTAGACTCTAGTTACCTACTGTGATCTGGAACACTCTCCCATCTAACTGCATTTGGATACCCAGTTTCTCCTTATTCTGTCTCCCTCCTCCCCTTTATATCCTCTAGTACTTTGATTCTACTTTCTACTTCTATAAGGTCAACTGTTTTGTTTGCACAAATGAGTCACAATGTGTGTGTGTGTGTGTGTGTGTGTGTTTTCCTGTGCCTGGCTTACTACACTTAACAAAAATAAGCTTGACTGATTTGACTTAACATCTCATCTGATGCTACTTATCCCTGTCAAGGGTTTGTGCTGGAGTCTGTGATGGAGTATTCCCAAGACAGAGGCCTCCTCATTATTATTTTTTAAATATTTTTCTTTAGTTGTAGATGAACACAATGACTTTATCTTATTTATTTATTTTTATGTGGTACTGAGGACTGAACTCAGTGCCTCATGCATGCTAGGCGAGTGCTCTACCACTGAGCCACCACACCAGCCCCAGAGGCCTCCTTATTTTATGAAACAAATTATTCTATAGCATCTTTAGAGAACAGACATGGTCAAAAGTCTTTCTCTTATATTGAAGTTGGGGCATTCTTGGTAGCCCCAAATTGTTATTACCTATTCTTACTTGAAGAGAAGAAAAAGAAATAGACAAAAGAAAAATACGTAACAAGGAAGAAAGAAAAGAAAAGGAACAAATAGTGTAATTCTGAACTGTGCTTCTAAAACTTATTCAGCCTTCATAATTTTTACCATATTCTGCGATATTCGTGTTTTCTTAATAGCTGCATGGAGTTATAATTGACATACAATAAACTGCACGTGCTTGAAGTGCATAATTTGATGAGCTTTGATGTACATATACACCCATGAAACCATCACCTACTCCAATTAAGATATTGAACAAAATCACTCCCAGAAGTTTCTTTTTACTACCCTATTATCTCTATTACCCTTCTCTGACATCCATTCTTGCATGTAATGGATTGGATGTGACCTGTTCCCCCAAAAGTTCCTGTGTTAATGCAAAAATGTTCAGAAGTGCAATGATTAGATTATGAGAACTGTAACCTGATCAGTCCACCCTAGTTTGAATGGACTGACTGGGTGGTAACTGTAGGCAGGTGGCGCATGGCTGGAGGAGGAGGGTTGCTGGGTGTCTTAGAAGGGTTCATATTCCCTTCAGCCTCTTTCTCTCCCACTCTCTCTCTGCTTTCTGGCAGCCATGAGCAAAGCAGATTCCCTCCACCATAGCCTTCCACCATGGTGCTCTACCTCACTTTGGGACCGAAGAATGGAGTCAGCCCACCATATATTTAACCTCTGAAACTGTGAGACAAAAATCAACTTTCCCTTTTCTAAGTTGTTCTTGTCAGGTGTTTTGGTCACAGCAATGTAAAGCTAACATATAATAGGCAACCACTGATCTGCTTTCTATCTACATATTAGTTTGCATTTTTAAAAAGCTGCATGAATGCAATCATTCAGTAGATACCCAGTTTTTTGTCTTCTTTGTACTCTGGCTTTATTAACTCAGTATAATTATTTTAAAATCCACCCATGCTGCTGTGACTTGGTAACACATTTTTATAATGGAGAAGTTAGCCATGATATGTACGCACAACAATTTGTTTATCCTTACTCCTTCAGGATTTTGATAAGTTTTCTTTATCTGACTATTTCACATATAGCTGCTATTTATGCTTATACCAGTCCTTGTATGGAAGTATTCTTTTATGGAATACTTTTTTATGAAATAAAATATTCCTTTATGGAAATATTTTTTCTTGCCTATCTAGTAATAAAATGGGCAAATCATAGGGTAGGTGCATATTTAACTTTTAAAGAAATTTCCAAACTATTTTTAATTGACTTATCATAGTTAATTCCCGCAGTGTGTAAGAGTTCTGTTCAATCCAATATACTTTCCAACACTTGGTATGGTTGGACTTTTTAACTTTACCCATTGTAATAGATGTTTAGTAATACCTAATTATGAGTTCCCTAATGACTACTGATGTTGAGCATATTTTCATGAATTTACTTCCAATACACCATCTTTTTTATTTTTTATTTTGGTGAACTGTTTAAATAGTTTGCCCAATTTTAATTGAGTTTATTTTCTCATTATTGAAATTTTTGAGAGTTCTTTATGTAGTCTAGACTCAAGTCACTTGTCAAATATGAGACTTTTAACAGTTTTCTCCCAGTTTGTGAATCATATTTTCATTTCTTTAATAGCGTCTTTCTAAAAGCAAAAGTTTTTAATTTTGATAAAGCCGAAGTCATCACTTTTTTTTATTTACACATTGTGCATTTTGTGTTATCCCTAAGGAATCTTTATCAGACTTGGAACACAAAGATTTCCTTACATTTTCTTCTGAAAGTTTCATAGTTAGTGTTTTACCTTCAGGTGTATGGTCCATTCGGAGTTAATTTTTGTGTCTAGGATGAGCTCTAGATCAAAGGTTTTTGTTGTGGTCATTTGTCTCCTTTTGCTTGTTGAAAACACTATAATTTCCAGTCATTGTTCCCTCTAATCTTTTCAGTCCCTTACCCCCAACCTCTGGTGACTTCCTCCCATGGTTACACTCATCAGGAGCCTCTGGACAGAGCTAGAGTTCTCTGGAATGATTTCTCCTCTGTGCCCCATAAATTAACATCTTCACTTCCGTGGACTCCCAAGATCTGTCCCTGTGACTATCACTAAGCTCTGCGTTGGTTCCCCACCCCTGCACCATGACCTGGAAATTCCCCTCAGGCAGTAGTAGGACTTCATCTGTCTCTCCTCCTTCAAGGAGCCTTAGGGGCCAGGTATACCTTGGTGGTAGTAGAGCACCTGCTTGGTGTGTGTGAGGCCCTGGGTTTGATCTCCTGTATGGCTTAGGCGAAGCAGGGATCCCTATCCTTCATTGCCTGATTCCAATATCCTGAGTACTTTTGGGGTGTGTGTGTGTGTGTGTGTGTGTGTGTGTGTGAGTGTTTTCAGCTGCTCAGGTAGGAGGGTAAATTTGTCCTTGTTATTCTATCTTGATTAGAAGTAGAAGTCTTCTTGATTCTTATTTAACCTAAAGTTCCCTTTCTAAAATTTAACCTTTCCTTTATTTATTCTAAGCACTTGTAATAATGAGATGATAGACCTGAGACATTGTTGTTATTGTCCTTATTCTAATGTCACAAAATGTCACATTTTTAAATGTACAACTGTATACCATCCCAATATTGTATACTCCTATGGTATACAGAATACAGATGGGGTAAAACCAGTGAAGTATTCCCACCCACTCATTACCCCATTTGTACCATGAGTATAGAAAATCCTCTGGGAAATCTGTGATCCACTTTGTACTACTCCTTCCTCTTAAGCTTTAAGAAAAAGGAAACTATTTTGCATGAAAATCATGTGC